AGAGAGAGAGAGAGAGAGAGAAAGTCAAAGAGAAATAAGCAACAGAAAGTAGTACAAAATATATTATTTGCGAAAGTAAGAACAATTTCAAATAATTTATGTACCAAAAAGAAAAAAAAAAGGCACGGTAAGAAGAAATCCCATTGTGAGGAAAGAGAGGAAAAACACAAAAACGAAAAAGAAGGGGAGAAAAAAAAAAATTAAACATAGAGAAAACAATGTGGTTTTTACCTCACTCCCCATTTGAAATATGATAATAGTGGGGTAGGGGGTAAAAATAAGAAACATTTTTTTCTTTTACATCAGTTACATGTATTTGTGTGACCATTTCAAAACCCAATTCTTATCATTGCTTCTCTTTTTTTTTTCTATTTTTTTTCCTCATTTCATTTAATAACTTCTATTCAGATACTTTCAAAGCTGCGAGGCGCTCCGCTGCCTTTCGCTTTGTCTCTATTTTCACCACTTCAGTATCACGCTGAACCCGAGAGTCAAGTTCGTTGTAATTACTCTCTATTGTAGCAAGCAACCACTCTACACCTTCCTCAAGATCAGGGTCTTCATCAATACCACACGATGCCACCACACGATGTATTGTTCCAGGTTCTAACACTTCATCAAAAAAACCATCAGGTATTACCTTTATCCCGCGACTTTCTTTAAGATCTTTCTTATTAGCAAGTACTAAGAGAGGTTTTCCTTTTACATATGGATGCGTCACCACGCTACGAAGATTTTTAAGAGATTCCTCAACCACAGATTCCTCAGCTGCCGAGTCTATGACAAACATTATACCATGACAATCATGAAAGTAATGTACCCAAATACCTCGAAAGTTTGAAGACCCTCCCAAGTCAAAGATACAAATGTCATACTTTTCCGTTTGGAATCTTGTAGGTGTAAATCCAATGGTCGGTGTGGTGTTTGTTTCAATTTTTCCACCTAGAGCCGATATAAGAGTTGTCTTCCCTGCATTATCAATACCAAATGTACCAAGAGTAATCCTCTTAAGCGGTTGTGCCACACCATTTGTCTGCGGTGGAAGCACTGTAGGATCATGGGATTGTTTTTTCTTTTCAGACTCCTCAACGCTGGAAAGTAGCTGACGCAAGTATTCAAAGGGGTTTTCAGGCCGATCTACCAACAACTTTGTTGCCAGTAGTTCAAAGAGATGATGCACATCATGCTCCTTGCAGTACGCGATACGTTTTTCTTCTTCTGATGATGACATTTTTTTTTTTTTTTCTTGGTTAATGTTTTCCTTCTTATTACTTTCTGTTTTTCTCTTCTTTTTCTATAGTTCTTTTTGGTCAAAGAATTCACAGAGAGTTCTTTTATTGTGCTTTCAACAATATTTGCCTTCTCAGATTATCTATATTTCTCTCGCACACAAACACACACACACTCTCTCTCTCGTTCGCTCGAGCAGCAACTTTTTCTTCTCCTAAAGAAGAAAACCCCCAGAATGCTTGAGTTATAACCAAAGATGAAGAGGAAACAGAAGAACAAAAAAAAAAAAAAAAGAAGGGAAGAAGTTATTAAGAATTTATATAAAGATACATATATATATTTTTTTTTCCTCTCCACATCTTTTTTTATTTTTTTTCGTTTTACTCTGTCGAGTTGCAAAATTACCTGTGAATCATTTTGCTGTCTTAATCTTCCTCTCACCCACCATCACTTCCACCAAAAGTTGTGATAACAAATACCCCTCTTCTCTTTGCTTTCCTGCTTTCCTCTTTTTTTTTTTTT